AGTTGCAGGCTCACTTGTCATCTCTCCAAATCACACCCGGTAGCCACGGCCTTTTGAAAAATGAAGAACAATAAAACTGTCAGCACCAGAGACGTCTGCCGGCTGCAGAAGAGTTGCTGAGAAATGGGACCTTTGCCGCGAAAGGATTTCTCCTGAAATCCTTGGGAATGAAAACGGGTGATCTTCCGTTGCTTTGTCAAAGCTGCTCAGAGTGGTTCGATCAAAAAACAACAACAGCAACAACCCACACACAAAAACCCAAAAATAACATCATTGTGTGTGCATGTGTCCATCCTTGTTGTCCTGCGAAGCCAAAGACCAAGGACAATGCACATCTAAATGATGGATGGATTTCATCATCAGCAACCTGTTTTGATTCCTTGGAACCATTCCTTTTAGTTGGTGAGTTTTCAATGAATAGAGAGGGACTTGTTCTGATCTAGGCTTCCCCAGCAGCACGAAGCCGAGTTCTCATCCCGATAAACCCTTTTTATTTAATTGACAGTGAATTCCTCTCCAGCGAAGTCTTTCCTCTCCTACAGTCTTTCAAGAGAGTTCTCAATTACCGGAGTACACAAATACAAATACAATAGCAGAGTTGGAAGGGACCTTGGAGGTCTTCTAGTCCAACCCCCTCCTGCCTAGGCAGGAAACCCTATACCGTTTCAGACAAAAGGCTATCCAACATCTTCTTAAAGACTTCCAGTGTTGGGGCATTCACAACTTCTGGAGGCAATCAGTTCCACTGATTAATTGTTCTCACTGTCAGGAAATTTCTCCTTGGTTCTAAGTTGCTTCTCTCCTTGATTCGGTTCCACCCATTGCTTCTTGTTCTATCCTCAGGTGCTTTGGAGAATAGCTTGACTCCCTCTTTTTGGGGGCGGCCCCAGAGATATTGGAAGACTGCTATAATTGTCATAAATGTTAAGCGGTGGCCAAGCTTGACATCAATCACAGGATGCTGCAACGCTCGTAGGGGTGAAAACCGGTCCTAAGTCATTTTGAACTGTCACTAAATGAATAGTTGTAAGTCAAGGACTAACTGGATGTTCCAGTTACGTCATCAAAGATGAAGTTCTTCAACCGTAGAAGAAGGCAAACTGGTTCTGACCAGCCCTTTGTTGTTGAAGGGCTTGTCAGCGGGTTCAGGAGGTGAGCAGAGTCCCTCTCAACGCTGACGAGGAAGGGAGCACAAAGATGGATTTATTCGGCTGATTATTAGAGCCAATTTGTTTGCTGATATTTAATGACTGTTGTGACATGTGCAGAAGTAAGTGAGGGAGACACTTGGAAAGTCCTGTAAATAGGTCTTAATGCTCATGTCCTGTGTAAAATACACTTCGAAATCTCCCATGGCATGGAAAAATCTCTAAGACAAATTTATAGTTTCCTTCCTTCCTTCCTCCCTTCCTCTTTCTCTCCCTCCCTTCTTTCCTCCCTCCCTTTCTCCTTCCCTCTCTTTCTCCCTTCCTTCCTTCCCTTCCTCTCCCTCCCTCCCTTCTTTCCTCCCTCCCATTCTCCCTTCCTTCCTTCCTTTCCCTCCCTCCCTTCTTTCCTCCCTCCCTTTCTCCCTTTCTCTTCCCCCCTCCTTTCTTTCCTCCCTCCTTTTTCCCCTTTCTCCCTCTCTGCTTGCCTGCCTTCCCTTCCCTCCCTCCCTTCCCTCCCTCCCTTCCTTCCCTCCTTCCTTTCTCCCTCCCTCCCTTCCTGCCGGCCTACCTTTTCCTTCCTTCTCTCCCTTCTTCCCTCCCTCCCTTCCGTCTTTCCTCCCTCTTCCATCACTTCCTTCCCTCCCTCCCTTTCTCCCTCCCTCTTTCCTTCCTGCCTGTCTACATTTTATTTCTTCCCTCCCTTTCCTCTCTCCCTTTCTCCCTTTCTCGCTCCCTGCTTGCCTGCCTTCCCTTCTCTCCCTCTCTTCCCTCCCTCCCTTCCCTCCTTCCTTTCCCCCTCCCTCCTTTCCTGCCTGCCTACCTTTTCCTTCCCTCCCTTTTTCCTTTTCTCCCTTCCTTCTTTCCTCCCTCTATCACCCTCCCCCTTCCTTTCCTCCATCTCTCCCTTCCTTCGTTCTTTCCTCCCTTCCTTCATTCTTTCCACCCTCCCTCCCTTCCCTCCTTCCTTTCTCCCTCCCTCTCTTCCTGCCTGCCTACCTTTTCCTTCCTATCCTCCCTTCTTCCCTTCCTTTCTCCCTTCCTTCTTTCCTCTCTCTTCCACCCCTCCTTCCCTCCTTTCTTCCCTCCATCTCTTCCTTCCTTCTTTCCTCCCTTCATTCTTTCCTCTCTCTCTCTTCCTGTTTGCCTGCGTCCCCTCTTCCACCCCCCTCCCTGCCTCCCTTTCTTCCTTCTTCCCTCTGTTTACATTCTGCCCTGCCTCCGCATTCACCGCCTGAAGGCCATAAATACATTCTGTCATGTTTACGATTATTGGTGATTTTGATTTGACGAACATCGATAGAAAGCAGCCACGCAGATGGTATTAAATACATTAAACAACTTCAGATCCACACCTTTTCCTTGTTCCCCTTTAGATTTCATCTAATATGAATCAATATCGGCTTAATAATTAATGCGTTCAAACATTTTTATGTATATTTTATGGTAGATGGATCCATGCTTATTTTATGATGGTGAAAGATTTACATGTAGGGGGAGCTGGAGAAGGCTGTCATCCTGGCTTTTGATCCCCTTCTCCCATGGGATCTAAGAGGTGACTTTTCTGCAGTACAGTAGATGCTTTCCTATTGTTGAAGTGACCTTCAACAAAGACCTTCTAAGGTGGACTTAAAGTGTTCAGGAAGAGAATTGCCAGATCGGATTGGCTAATGGAGACTTTGGACTTCTCGTGGCATTTGTATTTATCTATTTAGTTAGTTACTTTTGTCAAATATGTACGAGATGACAGGTCTAAGTATAAACACAGGAAATGGGTATGAATAAATGGGGACAGTAGGACAGATAGGCACGCTGGTGCGCTTATGCATGCCCCCTTTATGGACTTCTTAGAAATGGGGTGAGTCCTCGATTTGCAACAGTTCTGTTGAGCTTCAAAGTGTATTCAAGCTGCTATCACTTTTACTGCTTCGCTTTTACTGCCAACAGACTCCCAACAGGAAAGGGAGGGAGAATTTGGAATGTTGATTCCAAGATGATGGGAACCAAGGACATTTCAGCAGGTGTCTGCCAGAGTGGTGGAGATTTTCCCATAACAACCCCTGGACAATGTGAGCTGCACTAATGGGAGGAGGGAAGACTCTATACTTGGTGAAGTATAGAGTCTATGAATTGGCAATACAATTCTATTGTGGATAGTAGGACGGGGATGGAAGGCACGCTGGTGTGCTTATGCATGCCCCCTTTATGGAGTTCTTAGAAATGGGGTGAGGTCCACGGTAGACAGTTTGAGGTTGAAGTTAGTGGGGTTTGAGGATGTAACAATGGAGTCAGGTAGAGCATTCCAGCCGTTGACCACTCTGTTGCCACCATATTTTCTGCAATCGAGTTTGGAGCGGTTAACCTTGAGTTTGTATTGATTGTTTGCCCGTGGGTTATTGAAGTTGAAGCTGAAGTCGTCACTGACAGGTAGAATGTTGCAGCGGATAATTTTGTGTACTGCGCTTAGGTCAGACCATAGGAGGTGCAGTTCCAGGTTGTCCAAGCCCAAAATTTCGAGCCTGGTGGCATAAGGGATTCTATTGTGAGCAGAGGAGTGGAGGACTCTTCTCGTGAAATACCTCTGGACCTGCTCAATTGTATTAATGTCCGATATACAGTGTGGATTCCAGGCAGACGAGCTGTATTCAAGAATTGGTCTGGCAAAGGTTTTGTATGGCCTAGTTTGCAGTACAATGTTACCAGAGAAGAAAATTAGGTTAACAACTCTTAATGCCTTTTTGGCAATGCTGTTACAGTGAGCTCTGGGGCTTAGATCGTTTGAGTTCCAAGCCTGACAACAAAGAAACCCTTTTTCCATGGAGAGTCAAAGATTCTACCCTGTTCTTGATGGGAAATAAAGTCATAGAAGTAGCAAAGACAACAACTGTTGGAACAATTCTTGGCATTACCGCTCAGGAGTTATTCAGAAATCCCCTGACATTTACTCTGCTCTGTTTATTTGATTTTATCCCATCCTTCTGTTTGTACAATGTTCAAGCCAGGGACATTAAAAAAATAAATAAATATAGAGGTACAAGAGACAGAGTAAAACCTAGTAAATGACTCCTCTACTGACAAACTAAAATCACAAAGCGTTGAGAGCAGTAGACAGATGGATCACTGAAAAGTTTTCAACCCCCCCCCCTCAGTTTTATTAAAGAAGGTATGTTGGTCTTGGTCGTGACTGACATTGTTCTGTATTTTGTTTCTGCATTTGGTTGATTCAAAGGAAAGAAGCAGTCCATCAGAGCAGGAGGAGAAAGAGAAAGGAGGAGGAGAAGGAGGAAGAGGAGATAGATAGATAAGAAGGAGAGGAGGAGGAGGAGGAGGAGATAGAGGAGGACGAAGATAAGGAGAAGGAGGAGAAGATATATAAGAAGCAGAAGATAAATGGTGATGATGAGGAGGAGATAGATAAAAGGGAGAAAATAGATGAGGCGAAGGAGAAGGAGGAGATAGAGAAGAAGGAGAAGATAGATGAGAAGAAGGAGGAGGAGAAGAGGAGGAGGAGGAAGATAAGGAGGAGGAGGAGATAGATAAGAAGCAGAAAATAGATGGTGATCATAATGATGAGGAGGAGATAGATATGAAGGAGAAGATAGATAAGGAGGAGGAGGAGGAGATAAATAGATAAGAAGCAGAAGATAGATGAGGAGGAGAAGAAGGAGGTGGAGAAGGAGGGGAAGATAGATAAGGAGAAGATAGACGAGGAGGAGGAGGAGGAGGAGGAGGAGAAGGAGATAGATAAGAAGATAGGGGAGGAGAGGAGGAAGAGAAGGAGGAGGAAGAGATAGATAAGAAGCAGAAAATAGATGAGGAGAAGAGCAGGAGGAGGAGGAGATAGATAAGAAGCAGAAGATAGATGGTGATCATAATGATGATGAGGAGGAGATAGATATGAAGGAGATGAGAAGGAGGGGGAGGAGAAGGAGATAGATAAGAAGATAGGGGAGGAGAGGAGGAAGAGAAGGGGGAGGAAGAGATAGATAAGAAGCAGAAGATAGATGAGGAGGAAGAGAAGGAGGAGAAGGAGTAGGAAGGGAAGATAGAGAAGAAGGAGAAGATAGATGATGAGCAGAAAAGGAAAAGGCAGGAAAGAGAAAGGGAAGAAGTTACTGTTCCACCTGTCAAACAAGACTGTATCTAACAACCTCAGAAGAAAATAAGATGCAAAGCACTTCATCAAATCTTTTGAGGCCACGTTTGATGACTTCATGAACACATTTCTACCGTTTTCTCGGCAGCCATGCAGAAGCAGTTTGATAATGCCTTTTTTTTTTCTGGGATGTCTTTCAACTTCCCCGTCTCTCCACGGTTTTGGATCTCCCCGGTGATCCCATCTCCAAGAACTAACCAGTTGCTAAACTGGGCTCGGTTTCCAAGCCCAGACAAAACATGCCAGGTGTTGTAATCTCCAGGAGTCATTGACTATCTCTCATTGGCTAATAAGGAGCCAATCTTTTTGGAGTGCCAAGAAGTCCTGTAGCCAAAACAACCATGGCCCCCCACTGAAGCTCTCATTCAGTTGCCAACAGAGCACTGCAAGATGATTGCCAAGGGTAATAAAAGTCTCATTTATCTTCAGCAATGTTCCTCCAGCAAAATAATGAAATCAAATAAAAATCTGCTGGGGGAGAGGACAGATCACGGTGAGAAAACTTGAGTGTTTATTCAGGAAGGGAAAGTCATGCTTTTGTTGACTCATCCTTCCTTAAAAAGCTCTCATGATCGCCGCCGTTGGCCCTGAAGTGAGACGTATCCCTGGTGTGGGTAGGTACCACCATCTGGGAGAAGAGAACTGGAGAACGGAGGGACAAATTAGACCTTCTGGGGCGGTTGACAGCATTTGATCTCCTGAAAGTGTGAACAATGGGAAGAAAGCTTCTAGGCTGCATTTAGTCTTTAGAAAATTTAAGAATTAAGAAGAGGTTTTCCTAAATAAGAGCCAAGGTGGCGCAGTGGTTAAATGCAGCACTGCAGGCTACTGCTAGATCAGCAGGTCAGCGGTTCAAATCTCACCGGCTCAGGGTTGACTCAGCCTTCCATCCTTCCGAGGTGGGTAAAATGAGGACCCAGATTGTTGGGGGCAATATGCTGACTCTCTGTAAACCGCTTAGAGAGGGCTGAAAGCCCTATGAAGCGGTATATAAGTCTACTGCTATTGCTATTGCTATTGCTAAATGCAAAGGAAAGGAAGCAACACAAAAAAAGGGGGAAAGAGCTGAGGAGCAAACAGTGGGACTAGGGTTGGGGTTAGGTAAGGTCAGCACTCAGTTTTGCACAAGAGCATTTGACTTGTTGACCAGAAGGTGGGCAGTTTGAGACTCAAGCCCGGTGTGATGGGTTAACCCCCTCTTCTTCCTTCTTTTAACAAACTGCATCCTGCTTTGGTTTGGTGGCAGCAGTGCCTTGGATAGAAAGTCCCTACGGAGAGTGGTGAGGACAGCAGAGAAGATCATTGGTCTTCTCACTTCCGTTTATTCAGGATGCTGCTTAGAAGTGCTATGTGCTTTGACCACAACCACACACAAGCTCACAATAGATACAAACTTATGGTAAATTGCTCCAAACTTCCAAACTTGCAGACAATATGACTTAAGTAACACAATTGTCAATGCCTTGAATGCAGTACTTGACACTGTGTTTTCTTCCCCAAACCCCCCAAACTTTAACCTTAGACTGTCTACTGTCGACCTCACCCCACTCCTAAGAGGTCTTTAAGTGCACCGGAGTGCCTACCGCCCCTGTCCTAATTCTACCTTGTATTTGTATCCATTTCATGTATTCCTAATCATGTTTATACATATATCTATTATCTAATTCAGGCTTGATGAAATAAATAAGTAAATAAAATATAATAAATAAGGCCCTGAGGTTGAGAAAGATGGAAGGCAAAAGGAGAAGTGGACGGCAGAAGAGGAAAAGATGAGACAAAACATGGATTTGGGCAAATTCTAGGAGAGGACAAGTAGATGACAGCTGGGGCTGATGTGCTCTGATCCACGGGATAGTGAGGAGACAGACACAACTTAATTCAATTCAATTTATTAGATTTATAGGCCGCCCAATCCCGGAGGACTCCGGGTGGCTAATGACTGAACAAGCAAAGCAAACAATACAACCTGCTTGGAAGGGGGGCATTCTGGGATGCAAAAGCAATCTCTTTGCATCCTGATGCCAAAGACGAAGCTGCACCCAGCCCTCACTCAAAGACAAGATGACCAAGCGATGTGTAAGAACAACTTGTTTATTGCCGCGTGGAAATCTCCCTAGAGGATCATACCTGCTTGTCCACATTTTAGCCACTTTGCTAAAAAATCCTTTTTGCACTTGGCAAAGGAGTGCTAGCCACATTTTCTGCAGAGTGGCGGGGTGATGTGTCACAGAGGGAGGGGAGAAGAAGATCAGCTGTCATCTTTGCTACCGCACGATGCAATAAAATCATGTCCCGAAGGAATTCTAGAACATTTCAGCGGGGCGGGGGAGTGGAAAGTCAAAAGCTGTCGGGTCGAGGAGGGAAACTTTTTAGGAAATCGAAAGATGGACGGCAGTGTCGTAGCCTCCCAGCAGTGAGGACAGTGAGGAAGTTGGGAGGAGCATGGGCCAGTCCTGGAGTCTGGGGAAGGCTCGGATAAGGGCTCTGTGTCGGAGGCAGAGATGGGGCCAGGGCCGTATGCCAGTTATTAGCTACCTTGAGAGTCAGACAGCAGTGAGGCAGAGGAACAGCTGGAGCCTGTTCCCAGTGTGCGCATGCGCAGAGCTGCCAGAAAAGAACAGCTCAGAAATCAGGGTCGACTTGGAGTAAAACCACAGGTGGACAATGATTGGCCCCTCCCATAGGAAATAAAAGAGGAGCGAAAGGGGAGTGGGCTTTTGCAGGAGACAATTTGCTCCTTTGTTCGTTTCAGGAGTGTGAAGATCTGTCCGTGAATCTCAGAGACTCTGTGTCCAGCCTTTCCTTGCACAGCACCACATTTGGAAAATATTTACATGGCAGCTTTCCAAGCTAGATAAGGTCTGTGGTTATAAATACTCCTTTGAAAGACTGTTTGCCAGGCCTTTGCTGAAGGTCAATGAGAGGAATTCATTGAATAAAAGGGGTTTTGGTGGGACCAGGACTCTGCTGCATGCTTTTTGGGGAC